ATGTGTTTCTGAATAGCTGCGAAAAAAGCGTGCTCGGCAGCATGAGAAACAGACCGAGCGAGAGAAAGAGAGAGAGAGAGAGAGAGAGAGAGAGAGAGAGAGAGGAGAAAGAGTGAGAGAGAGAAAGAGGGAAGAGGGAAAGAGGAAGAGAGAGAGAGGGGGAGAGAAGAATTAGGAAATACGACGGGGGTGGTGTGTGGACATCTTTTATTTTTTATTATAAATAAATATATAAAATGTAAATAACTTATATATACACACACATGTCATATATGCACACATACATACACATATATTTGTAAAAATATATATATATCTTAACAAAATTACTTTTTAAAAAAAAAAGCGCCAAATACACACGTCTCACACGCACACAGTATTCGTTCCATAAAAAATTCGTAAAAAAAAAATTGTAAAAGAATTCAATATAAAAATTCTATACAATGTCCTTATTCCTAAAAAAAAAGACTGTAAAAAATAAACAAAGTCAAAGATAATTATTCTTACATTTATAAAAAGAATTGTAAAAAAACTCAACACAAAAATTTCATACAATATTTCTAAAATGACTCTAGAAAATATAAAAGAATATTCAGCAAAAATATTTAATTCCGTAAAAAAAAATTTAAATATTACTTTTTAATATCTTCGTTAAAAAATAATGAAATTAAAAAGTTGCGCCAACTGGTAATGCGAAAGTATGTTGTACGAAACATACACAGAGAGAACAATTTGTTGAATCAAAGAAACGTTTCTTTGAAATGGATCAAACAAATATTTTGGTTGACCGAACAAAGTTTCGGTTGACGCAACAAAAACATTTTATTGTAACTAAGCTGCAACTAAATATTTTTGTTGCGTCAAACAAAACTTTGTTTGATCAATCAACAAATTTGTTTGATCCATTCCAAATAAGTGTTTGTTTGATTCAATCAAATATGTATCGTATGTCATCTCTCTGTGAGTAACAAATGAAGCAGCAAAGAAAAAATAATAAATAATAAAAATAAAATTTAAAATAATTAAAAAATGAAAAATAAAAGTAAGATTTAGACAAAAACACTTGGCGTGTCCAGGATGCATTAAAACAAAAGTTATAATAGATTGTGCATTCCAATCTTCAGTAATTTTTTTAATGCATCCTGGGCACGTCAAGTGTTTTTTGTCTAAATCATAATTTTATTTTTCATTTCTTAATTATTTTAAATTTTATTTTTATTATTTATTATTTTTTCTTTGCTACTTCGTTTGTTATACAGAGAAAACGATTTGGTGACACCATAGAAGGAGGAGGGCATACTAGGCGACGGGACGCCGTGCGTTCGAGATCTGCGTATCTTTTCGTTCCAGAGAGAGAAAAATATCGAAAGCACGGTTTTGCTAGGCCGGGACTCGAGAACCCGGGTCTTTCGCTTGTCGACTGCTCTAAATCACTGAGCTACCTGACGCTCCACGCCTACGACACTCTCTTCTCCCTAGATAACGCTCAGAGATGCCGTTCGGAAGCGACATCTCTGGCGCGATCCCGAGCGCACGGCGACTACAGAGAGAAACAATGTTACTGTACCAAATGGTACAGCTGTCAGTCTCTCAAAATCAAAGGTTGCTATCCTTTAAAACCTGCTAGTTTTTTTACAATTTTTTTTTATATATCTAAGAATAATTATCTTTGACTTTGTTTATTTTTTACAGTCTTTTTTTAAGAATAAGGATATTATATAGAATTTTTGTATTGAATTCTTTTACAATTTTTTTTTACGAATTTTTTTTATGGAACGAATACTGTGTGTGTGTGTATATATTTGGCGCCTTTTTTACTTTTTTTTTTAAATATTGATGTAGTCTACATACTCATAAAAGTGACAACTATTCATTGTAACTATTGCCTAGTAAGCAAATTGGTAGCAAAGTCCGCGCAAATTGGCAGCAAATTTGATCAGAATCCTATACCAAAACCATAGCCATCTGTTTCCGCATTCAACTCATGTTTTAGTGTCAGAGTCTATTGTGTGAGCAGATTGGCAACAGAAACCGCGCAGATCCTGTCGCACAGCAAGATCTGCTCGATTTCTGTCGCCAATCTGCCGTCAGATCGTCGTAGGCTTCATTTTTACTGTCAATTTGCTCGAATTGCCTGTCAGCAGGTTCTATTACATTTCTGACGGCAGTTTGACAATATAATCAGATATAATATAGATATAATAATCATATGACACTGTATTGGACTTACTGCCTTTCTGCTATCAAAAATTTGTAACAAGCTTTGTTCAAAATCTATTTGCGCAGGTTTGAGATTTAAGTATTTGGCTTCCCATTCAAATACACTTTGAATTTCGTGCAATTCTGTAGCAAAAATTCTAAAATTCAATATTCACAGAACGTGATTTAAAGTTATTTTTCCTACAAAGAGTCATATATGTTGCTAAGTTCGTTTTATAGCAAGAAATTTAACTCTCGGCGTGCTCCATTGCGAGCTTGATGGTTAGTTTTTCCAGATAGATTCGATGTTATTTCCCAAGCGTGTTGTTAGGATCCTAATACGATTCATCCAGTCAGATAGATCGAATGTTAGTTATAATAACTGGTAACTGACTGACGTCAGTTATGGTAATTAGGGCTCTGAATATTGTACAAGCACGTTTCTTCTGTGTATCTATTAAGAGACCTTTCACCTTTGACAGCTTCACAAAATTGATTTTTTTTGCTGATTTTTATTCCTACATATATATAGAATATTTTTGTAAAAATATTTTTTGAAATTCGCAATATTAACGAAGCTACGAGCTCGTAAGAGCACACGGATCCTTCAAGTGCTTGCCAGTACAGCAGTACTTGTAAATACTATTCAAATCAGATCAGTAGATATCGGTTGTAGTCTATTCTTTGAAGTTTTTTTAAAGATTATTGGTCCGAAGATTATTGGTATGAAAACTCATTGCTATTTTCTATATGCTATATAATTTAAGAAAAAGTAGAAAACTGTCCTTCGTCCTTTGTCGTGCATAGTGTTAGTTGTATAGCGTACGTTTCAAAATGTGATAAAGTGAAACTAAAACTTTAAACGCGTTTTTTTCAAAACTATGTTTTTCGACCTAATGGAAGTGACAGCTAAAAAACTAAGATAGACTAGAAAATAAATTAAAGAATGCTCCAATTACAGACAATAATCACTAAGTGCTCACTAAGCTGCTTTTTTCGCAGAATGCTGCCAGGATTATTTTCCAAGCGAGTTGCTATGATTCCAATATGGTTCGTCCTGTCAGCTGACATTCGGTCTATCTGATAGGACAAACCATATTGGAATCATAGCAACACGCTTGGAAAATAACCCTGGCAGCATTCTGCGAAAAAAGCAGCTTAGTGAGCACTTAAGGGACGTCTACATTGGAAGTAAATAGCAAGAAATAGGAAGTAAGAGTAAGAAATTGACCAAGCATAGTCGAATATGAGAAGAATAATCAATCAACTATGATTGGTCAATTTCTTATTCTTACTTCCTACTTCTTACTGCTTACTTCTAATGTAGACGTCCCTTTAGTGATTATTATCTGTAATTGGAGCATTCTTTTAGATTCTTGATAGATCCAGAAGCATGTACCAATCAAGAGTGATAATCACAAATGAGCTCCCTGAATTGCTTTTTCCGCTTAATGTAGCCACTGAATTTGTCTGGAAAAACTAACCGTCAAACTTGTAACGGAGCACGCCGAGAATTAAATTTCTCGCTACAGAACGAACTTAGTAGCATGCATGGTTCTTCACAAGAAAAACAACTTCAAATCACACTCCGTGGACATTAATTCGTGGAATTAATAATTTGGGTGACCAAGAGAGCTATATCACAACCTACCACAACTTATCACAATCTACCTCTTCCTATTCATCGACTAGTAAAAATTTCATTAAGCAATGTTATTATCCATTTGGTACAATGGAAAGATAAAAGATATAAGTATTGCAGAAACGGACAGTTCATTTCAATTAGAATGAGATATTTTAGTTCCTAACAGGATAACTAAAACAAATCAGCATTTCAATTTATATCTCGAA